TGAAAGTAATTTGGGGTTATCCATCTCAAATACAAGTAATTGCTAAGTCTACAAAAAGTATATATAGCCCTTTTCCTTTTAATCTTACAAGACAAGCATCTGAATAGGTATGTTCAGCCAACCTTTCACCATTTACTCTTCACTCTTCATTCCACTGTATCCTTTTTTGTGATCAAAGTAAACAGCAAACTGTAAAGAGCTTTATAATAGTTACTACTCTTTAGTTACTTAAAATATCATATTTATGATGTTTCATTTGGGACAGACATAAAATAGAATCCTTATATTTTCATACAGTTTGCTTAAAAGTTACTAACCATGTTTTCTTCTTATGAATTCTTGGGTACAATACAGGCTTAAGGATCTATCAACTAGAATAACTTAAGATCTAACAACTAGAATATTATATAAATAGTCATGGATGCCAATAAGAAGATTACCTCAAAGAGATGTGAAAGTGAGGTGGGTGACCTTCAGCTCTGTTTGCAATACTTTATTTCATTTAAAATGAAATGCAGACCAGGCATGGTAGCTCACAGAGGCCAAGGCAGGCACTTGAGGCCAGGAGTTTGAGACCAGCCTGGCCAACATAAGGACACCCTGTCTCTACTAGAAATACAAAAATCAGCCAGGCGTGGTGGTATGAGCCTATAATCCCAGCTACTTGAGGGGTTGAAGCATAAGAATCACTTGAACCCAGGAGGCAGAGGGTGTAAGTGAGCCAAGATTATACCACTGCACTGCCGGGGTGACAGAGTGAGTCTGTCTCAAATACATGACTGTTTATTGCATTGTTTTTTCTGTTCTGTCATATTCACATTTTTTTCCATAAAAATCTCTCAGTCGGCAACTGAAGGGGAAAAAAAACTAATTCAGGAATTATTTCACCTGTCACTTGTATTTATTTTCTATTTTATTTGCACTGCACTCATACACATGAAACATACATAGTTCGCTGCTTTGGGTACTTAATTTATATATGAAATTAATGATCTTTTATTGAAAGCACCACTGCTGTTTGTTAGAGGAATCACTAATATTACAGAAGGTGATGACTCACTGCACAGGGATTTTGCTAAAGGCAAGACAAAGCTTTATACCTTTAGGTGGGAATAAATTACAGCTTCATACAAATGCACTTACCAGTAAATCAAAAAGGAAATTAAAGGCAGTAAATCTATGACCTGAATGCAAACTACTTTAATGGGATGCTTTTCGGAGATTTTCCAGGAGTACAAGCAAATCCTTTTAGAGTTTCAGCAATAAAAAAAATGCTATGTGGTGCTTAACCGTCAAAACACAGTCTTTGCAATTATTCTTCAGGAGGAAACTTTTGCTGCTTACATAAAATAACCTCAGGGGCAAGGAGTAAAGAAAATATCAAAGACAGATCAAGGAAGCTGATAATTACTTTTAAAGATTAATGTTTTACAGATAGAAGCCAAAGCTATGATGAATATCTCACTACTAATTCATTCAAATGATTAGAAGAAAAAAAAAAAACACATCAAGTGTGGCATTTTGTTCCAAATGACTGTGGATTCATATAGTAAGAACGTACTTGTTCCCAGGCCCCAGTGATCCTCCCACCTCAGCCTCCAGAGTAGCTGGGACCACAGGCATGTGCCACCACACCCAGCTACTTGTTTTTTTCTTTGTAGAGACAGGGTCTCCCTATGTTGCTCAGACTAGAACCTCATTTTGGATATCATTCTGATTTCTCACAGAATACGTTATATTTTTAAATATCTTACTAATTTAAGAAGATAAAGTATTATGATCTATTCACATTCTTATCCAGCTTTCCACTGCTTGATTTAAACACTCTTTTCCTAAATGTCGTTCTGTTAATTTGCTGCATAAGCAGCTCATAGGTTATTTTTTTGTCACTGCTGTTTGATTATTTTAGTTAGATCCTTGTCTGGACTCTTCTAAGTCTTATAAAGATAGTTAACGGTTGTGTTCTACTTAATATCTTTTAGTAGAATCTTCACCAAAGATGATGCTAGGCATCTACAATAGTAACTTCCAGCAAAATGGCATCCTGATTATTTTAGTATTGGGTAACAGTTTAGGAAAATATCTATACTGTACTCTGTAAAGAATCAAATTCAAAGTGCCAAGTGCTTTAGGCATTTGTCCTTACAAAAAGCACCATGCTATCCCCTCCCTTGAGTAAGTCAAGGCTAGAAAGAGTTTACTGTGATACAGACAGAAATACCACAAAGGGTCCAGCATGATCCATAATACTTCTGGTGCAGATCAAAACTAAGTTATTTAGTTTTTCTTTTAGGGAGGCAGCATGGCAGATGAGATAAAAAGTGAACTAGAGAGTAAAAATGATCTGGATTTAACTTCTGAGTCTTACTGCCTAACTTTGGGCAAATTACTTAACCTTTGAAAATATGAGAATTCTCACTGGGTACATGTAAACATGCATGTGAAAATAACATGTATAAAATAAACCTAGCAGGCATCTACTGAATATTAATTTCCTTTGTTAGATTATCAGGTTATAGCTGGGCCCGTAATCCCAGCACTCTGGGAGGCAGAGGTGGGCAGATCACGAGGTCAAGAGATTGAGACCATCCTGGCCAACATGATGAAATCCCGTCTCTACTAAAAGTACAAAAAATTAGCTGAGCGTGGTGGTGTGTGCCTGTTGTCCCAGCTACTTGTGAGGCCGAAGCAGGAGAAATGCTTGAAATCGGAAAACGGAAGTTGCAGTGAGCCGGGACTGCACCACTGCACTACAGTCTGGCAATAGAGCAAGACTCTGTCTTAAAAAAAAAAAAAAAAAATTATCAGGTTATAATGGAGTCTTTTAACACTATCTTTAAAATACTCAAAAAGAGGCCAAGTGCAGTGGCTCACACCTGTAATCCCAGTGCTTTGGGAGGCTGAGGCAGGTGGATCACTTGAGATCAGGAGTACAAGACCAGACTGGCCAACATAGCAAAACCTCATCTCTACTAAAAATGCAAAAATTAGCTGGGTATGGTGGAATGTGCTCATGATCCTAGCATTTTGGGACACTGAAGGAGGGTAGATCACTTGAGGCCAGGAGTTCGAGATCAGCACGGCCAGCATGGTGAAACTCTGTCTCTACTAAAAATACAAAATATTAGCTGGGCATAGTGGTGTGAGCCCGTAATTCCAGCTACTTGGGAGGCTGCGGCAGGAGAAGCACTTGAACCCGGGAGGTGGAGGTTGCAGTGAGCCAAGATTGTGCCACTGCACTCCAGCCTGGGCGACAGAGTGAGACTCTGTCTCAAAAACAAAAAACAAAAACAAAACAACTCAAAAAGAGCAATGGGTATCACAGTGTCTCAGTTCACCTTTAATCATTTCTGTATCTTTTTCTTTATTTTTTCCATTCTTATGTATATACTCATTTCATTTCTATATCTATCATGCCTGGTATCTCCTTACTTTCGGACCCCATGAATTATATAATCACAGAGTTTATGGACATCTAAAATATTATTCAGTCATCTAAGAAGGGCCCTTCCTAAATAATCTGAAAACTATGACCTACTTTATTTCTAAGAACCTCTCAAGGAGACTAACTCTCTATCTTCTATTTATCTACCTACCTACCTACCTATTTTGAGACACGGTCTTGCTATTGTGCCCATAGTGGTCTCTGTCTGTCTATCTGTCTGTCTATCTATCTATCTATTAATCTATCGACCTACCTATATATTAATCTATCTACCTACCTATCTATTAATCATCTATCTACCTACCTACCTATACCTACCCACCTATTTTGAGACAGGGTCTTGCTATGGTGCCCATGAGCTCAAACTCCTGGGCTCAAGCAATCACACTGACTCAACCTCCTGAATAGCTGGGATTACAGAAGCACATCATCATGCAGGGATAAAAGAGAAACTTAATCAACACTGGTAACTCATTATGAGGTAGAATAGGGTCTGGAGGCAGAGGACATAAGGCCGATTCAGGCTGACTTTCTAGAACTAAATCAACAGGAAAACCCCAGCTTTCCATGCCCAAGTAGCAGAAGGACCAGTGGCTACTCCCTTTGTAACCCCCACCACCCTTTTTCTGCATGGCAGATGCAAAATTGAAAGTACCTCTGATTGGTCCCCTCCCACAACCAATCAGGATGGTTGTGGGCCAAGTCTTCATTTGTATAGGAGTATAACTTTGTAACTTCACCTCAGCCTCTCAAATGTTTGCACAGGGTATAACTTTGCTTCAGCCTCTGATTGGTATCCTCCCACAACCAATCAGACTGATCGTGGGCCATTACTTCATTTACATAAAGTGTATACCAAGTAACCAATGGAAAACCTCTAGAGGGTATTTAAGCCCCAGAAAATTCTATAATGGGCTCTTGAGCTGCTTGCTTGGGCCTGCTCCCACCCTGTGGATTGTACTTTCATTTTAAATAAATCTTGTTTTTGCTGCTTCATTCTTTCTTTGCTTTGTATGTATGTTTTGTCCAATTCTTTGTTCAAGATGCCAAGAACCTGGACACCCTCCACCGGTAACAATCATAAAAAATTCAGATTCCTACTACATCAAATGACACAATTAAGTTTCTTTTTGTCTTTACATTGTCTGCAAAGATGAGAAATTACAGGCCTACCATACAACATTCCTTGAAATATAAAAACTGTAACCAGGCTCTTTCTATCAGGCTCCTCTCAGGCCAATAAAGTAATATCACTGTTTATCAAAGCTTCTATGTATTAATATAAACACACAACACAGTTTAATAGTAGGAAACTAAAATGAGCTTTTAGGGTCTACTGTATAAACTTATCAGCTATGGAAACCCTGGACAAGTAACTTCCTTCTCTGAGCTTCAGCTTCCACATCTGTAAAATGAGGACAGTATCACATTTCTTATAAAATCACTTAAAGAATAAATTAAATGAAATAAGGTAGACATTCAAAATACAGTCACTACCTTCATCTTAATATAAAAACAAGGCTAAAGAGAAAATGAGGGGAAATAAAACACACACCATGTTTACCGCATCTTGATCAAAAGGGTTCCATTCTATATTCTGAGGATAGTGGGCGAGAACTTTGGATTTGAATGTTCTTCTCAAAGGACTCTGGTCAAAATTTTCACCTACAACAAATAATTAATACATAGTTAATATGTAGGACTGTTTCAAAAGCATGTCACAATTTTATATTTATTTTATAGAACTACTGACTGATAATGTTGAGATCTGATTCAATTTCTACCTCTAACCAAGTTATAAAATCCCAATGGACAACTAAAAAACTGTTAATGGGTCAGCATTTAAAACTTTATAATCTGAATTTTAAAATACTGGCTACTCAATTGATACTAAAATTCAAGATATGGTGTTATAATCATTACTATACCCTAATTATTGTTCACATTTCAATGTGTGGTAATAAAAAACTATATGAAAACATTTACTTCAGTAAAGAAATATCTTGTATTAAGCTAATCATACATCTTATGATCCTGAAATTTTATACACACTTAGACCCCATGCTGCAGTGCTCCAAGGAGGCAATTTTGCTTGAGTTTCCATGGAAATCTCTGAGAAATGTGATTGCATATCCAGGTTCTTAAGTAACAAAATTAACAGAATTAGAAACATTGCTGAGTCAACCTGTTTAGTAGAATAGAACACATTAAACACACTAACCTTTTAAAAATAAATGAGCTATCCTAAGTCAAATTCATTATCTGGCAAAATTCTGGAAAGATAAAAGTAGGCTACATTTTAATTATATATAAGAAAATTCAGGCCAGGCACAGTAGCTCACACCTGTAATCCCAGCACTTTGAGAGGCTGAGGCAGGAGGATTGCTTGAGCCCGGGAGTTTGAAACCAGACTGGGCAACATGGTGAGACCCCATTTTTTTTTGTTTTTTAATTAAAAAAATTTTTTTTAAAGTAAAAAAATGAAAATTCAGTAATAGCTATCAGGTGTGTTTTTTTTGTTTGTTTTTTTCTTGTTTGTTTGTTTTTACCTCCTCAACCAGAGTAAGACTTATTGGTTTCATGAAATATTTTAATGTAGATGGATCTTAAATTCCCAATGTCAAGAATTTGGGATCAAAGAACTAGAAAACCTTGAAACAATTTTATTGTGTTCGGTTTTCCTACTTTTAAAGTTCTAATTAAGTGCAAAATACTAGCTATTACAGCAGAAGATAAATGTCACTTACCAGTATTTATACAATTAAAAATGTCACAAAGCAATTTGATCTATGAGTTGTTTTTAACTTCTAGTTAAACTCAGTTTCCATTTTGGGTAAAAATATGAATAGAAACACCTCTGAATGCAAAACAGATCACAGGAGGAGGGAAAAGTCACACTAAAAAATCTTGCTGTAGACTGCAATATAAAATACACAGGAACTTTTTTGAACAAGGACACATAATTTAAATATATTTGTTGAGGCAACTAAACTACTATTTCTAATTGAAGTCCTTGGTTAATGATCATTATTTTCTTTAGATTCCTCTGACTTATTTAGGCAAACATTTCATCTCTGTGTATTTATTCTCCATACTTCCATCTTCTAAGAGTTGAGAGCATTCATTTCTAGAAAAGAAACTGTCAAAGACATCCCTAAGGAGAGTTTATCAATTTTTGCAAGATGCTTCTAGAGTATGTAAGCATCAAAAAGTCAACAGAGGAATGTGAAACTGTCTATGAGAGTCAATGTGGCTGAAGAAAAGATTCAGGGCTTAGAATTGATTTCAGGAAGAGTCAATGATATTTTTAAGCTGATGCTAGATTTTTCCGTAAACATTAAGAAAGTTCAAATTATTCACTTCTTCATTTAAACAAAAATTACTTGGCCAGACATGGTGGCTCATGACTGTAATCTCAGCACTTTGGGAGGCCGAGGTGGGCAAATCTCTCGAGCCCAGGAATTTGAGACCAGCCTGGCAACATAGTGAAACCGTATCTCTATTTTAATAAACATTATTTAATTTTAAAAAGTTACTTTTCATTTCACTTTAGAGAAAAACCAAAATTCCTCCCAGTTCTAAAAGTCTATGCTGCTGACTGTGTACTGACACAGCAACAGAGTATCCTCATGATATACAGCCATCAAGAAACTTTCTCCTGGCCAGGCACAGTGGCTCATGCCTGTAAGTCCAGCATTTTGGGAGGTTGAGACAGGCAGACCCCGAGGTCAGGAGTTCGAGACCAGCATGGCCAACCAGATGAAATCCCGTCTCTACTAAAAATACAAAAATTAGCCCGGCGTGGTGGCAGGTGCCTGTTAATTCCAGCTACTCAGGAGGATGAGGCAGGAGAATCACTTGAACCTATAAGGTGGAGGTTGCAGTAAGCCGAGACTATGCTACTACACTCCAGTCTGGGTGACAGAGCAAGACTGTCTCAAAAGAAAAAAAACAAAACCCTCTCCTTCACCTACCTTCTAACACCAAAAATACTTGCTTTTATTATCCATAAATGTAAATAAAATATGAAACACTGCAGGAGCAGAAGAAACAAGATAAAACCTATCATATAACTCCTTGCAACACTTACCTTTTAATTCAATTCTGCCTGTGTATAGTTAAAATAACATCTTCATTCATGTATCAAGTTATTAACGGGACAGGAGATACATCAGAAAGGTAATGAAAGTGCCATTCTCAATATAATTGTTCTGTTAACTAAGGAACATTGCACCTTCTTGAGGCACAAAGAATCAGTGATAAGGAAACCACTTCCAGAAAGAAATAATTTTACAAAAACAAAAAAGCCACAAAATAGTAACATAAATCTAACAGAAGAAAAGCAAAACCACCACCAACACCACTTGCTTATTAGACTGCTTAAAAAGGGATAACAAGAAAGATTACTGTTATATATACACATAGCTGTCTTGGCAAATATGATTTGGAAGAATATTAGGGGAAGAACCAATTATTTAGAAATCTGATATCGCTATTAAGAATTTAGAAATGGGCCAGGCACGGTGGCTCACGCCTGTAATCCCAGCACATTGGGAGGCTGAGGGAGGTGGCTCACTTGAGGTCAGGAGTTCAAGACCAGCCTGGCCAACGTGGCGAAATCCTGTCTCCACTAAAAATACAGAAATTAGCCAGCCATGGTGGCATGCACCTGTAATACTCAGGAGGTGGAGGAAGGAGAATCGGTTGAACCCAGGAGGCGGAGGTTGCAGTGAGCCAATATCATGCCACTGCACTCCAGCCTGGTTGAGAATCTATCTCATAAAAAAGAAAAAAAAATTTAGAAATGAGTGGATGTAGCTATTCCTCCTAGTACCAGTCAAAAGAAGAGAATCTTGGTGATGACTTTTGGAGATGAGAGATGGAGGAACAACCTATACTTCTCATTTTAAACACATGTTTTATAAACCTCTTAATTTAGAATTTACTGCTGGGAAAAAAACGGGAGAATAACCAAATCTAAGAAGTTGGATTCCCAGGAAATGAAAATCACATAAGCATCCTGTACTTAAAGTTTGCCTTTTAAATACTATTTTGAAACAAACAAGGACTATAAATTTGTATGACTGCTACATACATATCAACTTAACTCCAACTAATACTGCCACATAACCTCCTACTAAATTGAAGCTGCAATTAATCCTTTCCTCCTAAGAAAGCAGGAAAAGGAAATATCTGCCAAGAGAGCTTAAAGACTACTGAATACACGTTTTCAAGGTTGAAGCAAAAGAGGTCTTTATGAAAATTAAGATGCAGATGAGAGAAGAGAAACAAAATAACATCTATAAGTTTGACCACACAAAACTGGATAAAGGAACATTTATAATGGGCTTGGGATCAATTAAAATAATGATTTATAACAGCCCATCCTTGTTTTAAATTTTATTTTTACCTGAAGTCGTATTTGCAGCATCTTGGCTCTTGCCATGACGATCTGCTTCTAGCCATTGGTACAAAACTACATAATGTAACAGAAACAAAAAGCTTTATGAACAAATAAACAAAAACAAACAAAAAGCAAAAATGACTTTGAAGAATGGAAAATGAGATTAAATAATTAACCAAAAGCAATTAAACAGGAGACATTAACATCAGAGTGGAGCTTAACACCAACGGAATGCAGCTGATAAGGGATTAGTAATGAAAGCAAAGAGAATAGGCAATTTTAACAAAATAAGTGAAATGCTATTAAATATCTGTAACAGTTTTTCGCATGGGAAACAGCACACATACTCTCTTCTTAATGCTTAAAGAGGAGTATTAGGAGAAAGCTAATGTTTCTATAGTCAGATATAATACAAGTTGAGTATCCCTTATCCAAAATGCTTAGGACAAAGAAGGGTTTTGGATATCTATTTGTTTCAGATTTTGAAATACTTGCCAAGAGGGCTTAAAGACTCTTATATTTACAGGTTGAGAATCCTTAATTACAAAATCAGAATACTGTCACTCAAAATTTCAAATTTTGGAGCATTATGGATCTCAGATTTTTGGATTAGGAAATCCTAATCCTAAAGGCTCATTTTGGCTCAACCTAAAAAGTATGACAGTAAGACTAAATGACCAATTTTAAAAATTACATCCTGGCCAGGCATGTTGGCTCACACCAGTAATCCCAGCACTTTGGGAGGCTAAGGCAGGTGGATTGCTTGAGGTCAGGCATTCGAGACCAGCCTGGCCAACATGGTGAAACCTCGTCTCTACTAAAAATACGAAAATTAGCTGGGTGTGGTGGTGGGTGCCCATAATCCCAGCTACTTGGGAAGCCAAGGCAGGAAAATTGCTTGAACCCAGGAGGCGGGGGTTGTAGTGGGCTGAGATCGTGCCACTGCACTCCAGCCTGGGTGACAAAGTAAGACTGCCTCAAAAAAAGAAAAAAAAATTACATCCCAACCACTGCATGCTGATTAGAATGGCTTAAGTCCCAAAAGCTGACTATACCAAATATTGACATATATATGAAGTAACAGTAATTCTCACTCATTGCTGATGAGAATGCAAATTGGTATGGCCACTTTGGAAGAGAGTCTGGCAAACCCTTACAAGGTTTAACAGTCTTATCACAAATTCCAAAACTCCAGTCTAATCATGAGAAAAACATGAAATTCCAAGGAGTAACCTATAATATATCTGGTAAGTATTCATGA